AATGTCTTGGCAGAGACAAGTGAGCACTTCCGGCACTGCATCTGTTTGTTGAAACATCTCAATTTGTATTCTATTAATTCCTGGAGCTTTGTTTTTCACCAATGCCTCCAGTGCGGCTTAGACTTCTTCCTTCAATACCATCAGTTCTTGATCATGTGCTACCTCCTTGGCTGAACGTCGACCAATTCTTTTTGGTACAGGGACTCTGTGTATTCCTTCCACCTGCTTTTGTTGCTTCCTGCGTCGTTCAATGTCTTGCCCATAGAATCCTTCAATATTGCAACTCGAGGTGTGAATTTTTTCTTTAGTTCTCTCAGCTTGAGAAATGCTGAGCATGTTCTTTTCTTTGGTTTTCTAATTCCAGGTCTTTGTATATTTCACTATAATACTTTACTTTGTCTTCTTGAGCTGCCCTGTGAAATCTTCTGTTTGACTCTTTTACTTCATCATTTCTTCCTTTCGCTTTAGCTACTCTACATTCAAGAGCAAGTTTCAGAGTCTCTTCTGACATCCATTTTGGTCTTTTCTTTCTTTCCTGTCTTTTTAATGACATTTTGCTTTTTTCATGTATGTCTGGTCTTTGGTCATTAGTGCTCAATGTGTCAAATCTATTCTTGAGATGGTCTCTAAATTCAGGTGGGATATGTTCAAGGTCATACTTTGGCTCTTGTGGACTTGTTTAATGTTCTTCAACTTAAACTTACAAATGAGCAATTGATTGTCTATTCTGCAGTCAGCCTATGGTCTTGTTCTGACTGTTGATACTGAGCTTCTTCATCTTCTCTTTCCACAGATGTAAGCGATCTGATTCCTGTGTATTCCATCTATCGAGGTCCATGTGTATAGTCACTGTTTATGTTGTTGAAAAAAGGTATTTGCAATGAATAAGTTGTTGATCTTGCAAAGTTCTATCATGTGATCTCCAGCGTCACTTCTATCACCATGGCCATAGTTTCCAACTACTGATCCTTCTTCTTTGTTTCCAACTTTTGCAGTCCAATCACCAGTAATTATCAATGCATCTTGATTGCATGTTTGATTAATTTCAGACTGCAGAAGTTGGTAAAAACCTTCAATTTCTTCATCTTTGGCCTTACTAGTTGGTGCATAAATTTGAATGATAGCCATATTAAGTGGTCTTCCTTGTAAGCATATGGATATTATCCTATCACTGACAGCGTTGTACATCAGGATAGATCCTGAAATGTTTTTTTTTGATGATGAATGTGACGCCATTCCTCTTCAATTTGTCATTCTTGGCATAGGAGACCAGGATTGTCCAATTCAAAATGGTTAATACCAGTCCATTTCAGCTCGCTAATGCCTAGGAGATTGACCTTTATGGGCTCCATTTTATTTTTGACGACTTCTAATTTTCCTAGATTCATATTTCATACATTCACGTTCCAATTATTAATGGATGTTTGCAGCTGTTTCCTCTCATTTTGAGTCATGCCACATCAGCAAATGAAGGTCCTGAGAGCTTTATTCCATCCATGTCATTAACGTTGACTCTACTTAGAGGAGTCAGCTCTTTCCCAGTCACCCAGTCATATTCTGAGTGCCTCCCAACCTGAGGGCCTCATCTTCTGGCACTATATCAGACAATGTTCTGCTGCTATTCATAAGGTTTGCACTGGTCAATTTTTTCAGAAGTAGACCACTGGGTCCTTCTTCCTAGTCTGTCTTAGTCTGGAAGCTCAGCTGAAACCTGTCCACCATTAAGTGATCCTGCTGGTATTTGAATACTGGTGGCATAGCTTCCAGCATCACAGCAACACACAAGCCCCCACAGTACAACAAACTGACACCTATGTGTCTGTGTGGGGGATCCAAAACTTAGCAGCTGAAAAAAAAA